GCCCTAGGGGTAAATTGCTGTCCCATTGTGAACACGGGGGGTGGTGCCCTACCAAGGACCTTGTGACCAATCTGTAGGGCGAGGCTGAGGGTTAGGCCCTGACCTCCCCCCGGCTCTGCATTGTCAGCTTCCCAGAGGTGGAAGTTTCCTCCCCTTTCCCCTGGTTTGCCTTGATTTGTCCCTGGCGTTTACGCCTTGCCATAAAACACAGGAGCCAGGAACGGGCTGGGTGCTGGGGTGGCTCAGCCAGTGCCACCCTACAAACTTGGATGCAGCTGCAAGTGCTCCTGGCCTCCGCCCCAGGAACAGCCCTGGCAGGGGCTCAGCAGATCACTGCGAGTGCATGGCCACGGGGATTGAATCCGGCTGTTTTCCCTGTTGGGCCCAGACCTGAGGGAAGGCAGGAGCAGTCTCCTTTGGGTCTGCCCTAAAGCCTGGGGAAGTCAATGGAGGGACTTTAATGAGTGGGCCCCAAAACTGTGCGTTGGTGAGCTACTATTTACCATCTCTGGCAATAGGAGCGAAGCTGAACCCTTCCCACTGCATCCACGCTATGGCACATTTCTCAGCTTGCACCACTCCCCCCAAGGTGCCCCTCAAGCCAGTCACTGCTGGACTGTCCCAGCCCATGGCAATCCTGAGGCAGCTCCTTCACCAACACTCTTCCTGAGATACAACACAAAGAGAGGCCATAGCATGAGCCCCAGTGGCTGTAATGGCCCCCCGGGGGCACTGCCTGCAGTGTAGTGGTAGCTGGGTGGGTGCCAGAATATTAGCAAGACAAGATGGTGACATTGTCTTGTACCAGACCCACTGCTGCTGGTGAGAGAAACAAGCTTCCCAGCCACATAGTGCTCCCCCTCAGCTTGGAGGAAGTGCCCAGCTGCCTCTCCCGGCTCTGTCAATCTGTGGCGCTAGAAAGCTTGTCTCCCTCACCTACAAATATCACCTCACCCACCCTGCCCCGTTCCAGTCGTTGGCAGAGATGTGGCTGGAGAGTAGCTCAGCACTAGTACAGCCCGAGAGGCTGGTGAGCACAGAAGAGGTTTTTCAAGCACCTTAAGCTGTGAATTGCTGTACCCGCAGCTTGCAGCACAATTCCCCCCAGGCTAGGGAGGATGGGTTTTACCATCCACGAGAAAATCTGGGGCTGAGTTAGAAGCTGCTTTCCTCCAGCTCAGCAAATCGGGGAGTTGATACTGTAACTCTTCTCTGTAGTTTTCATCTGTTTTTTCCTCTCTGTTGCTTGTGGTGGGTTTTGTAACAGACACATGACAGCAAAGGCAGTTGTCCTCCAAACAGTGTGCAGAAAGAGTTCCCTCTTGTGGGATCAGAGAAACTCTGCCTTGTGCACTGGCACCCTGCCGACTGGCACTGCGGGCCTGTGAGGAAGTCTATAAATATCCCACATTTCTAGAGTGTATGGCATCCTCCATCCCCAGACGGTTCCAGACTGCTAGCAAACTGGTCTACAAAGCAGACATAGGTCATTCCCTGCTGAAATGCAGCCACCTGGGGGTAGGATGGATGAAATATTTAATAGCGATAGGAACATTAGGAACTCAAGCCTGTGCAGTACTGACTGTCCTCAAGACCCTTGAAAAGGGATTTGAAGTCAGTTGGCCTGGTTGGAAACAGGCTGTAGGAAGGGACTTGAAAGGCAAATTCAGTATCCAAATAAACGACAGGAGGGCTGAATGTAATAATGGACTTTGGATCTGGGCTAAGACATGCTGACTTCTGCTAGGAGGCTGCTCCTCCACACCTGGAGAACAAACAATCCTGAACAGGTACATGCCTGGCACCTCCCCCCCAGCAGGCGGGAGGGCGGGGAGCGGGGGGG